CAGCTCATCCTGTGGTTTCTTCTGGCGCTTTGGCACAATCCAGGAAGAAATGCTTTGTGAACTCTAGATTGTTGTACAGACGTTAGTAGTTCTTTACATGGTTTTTTTTTTTAATTGAAGTACTTGTCAGTTACAGTGTGTCAATTTCTGGTGTACAGCACAGTGTTCCAGCCATGCATATATACATGTATGTTCTTAATGATTAAAAAGGCACATTTGTAACCATAGTAGGTGCTTTTCCTCCCACCATGGAGACTAGAATCAAAGTTTTGGAAAAAATTAGAAATTAGGCTGCATAGGTTAAAGGACATTCTCAGTTGCAAGACCTTTTAAATAATGATACCTCTTTTCTGTTTTCCTAAAATTTGGAGTTACCCCAACAAAGCTAATATAGTCACCTCTAAATCATTCAGAGTATCTTGGTTGAAAATAAATTTCGCTGTCTATGTATTTGTCAAGATAATAAGAGTTCCCATCAGTTATCAGAGATCTGGGCACACCCTTTCTCTAGGAGGGGGACAGAGAGCCGTGAGTCCAGGTTGCCCTGACTTGTCCTTTTTGGTATCTTGGTGGGCAGCCCCAAAGCGTTGGACAGGAGGAAGAAAGGAGCAAGTGTGCTGGGCTCCAACACTGCCCTCTCCATGGCCTCTCTCACTGTCCAGGTCTCTTTGGTCTTCACTTTTTCTTTATGACCACATCATGATTGTGCTGACAGGTTGCTTTAGAAACCGCTGACTTCACCCCAAGGTCCAGGGAGCTTTACTGTGGCACAGCCCCTTTCAGCTCCCTCCAGACTTCTCTTTCACCCTCTGTATTTCCACACCCATCCTTTTGTTTGTCTTTTCTGCTCCATAAACTCTAGGTTCCTGTAAGACTGCAATTACCAGCCCCCTGCACTTACATAGAGCATACAGAAGCATGTTCTAAGGAAGATGATATATGTGTAGAAAAGTTTTTCATCTTGCCCTGTATTTCACAAGCACAACAAAAGGTTATTGACAGATTTTAGGATTTTCTTTTTTTAAAGAAATGTATATATATTTATCCACTAGCTCAGTATTTTTTTTTAATCAAATATTTGGAATGAGGTTTAGAATCAGCAAATATCCTTTGAATGCTAAGGATTAAGTAAAGGGTGCTTTGCTAACAATTATTAGTCTTGAGGCTTATGCAAATAAGCTGTTTTAAAGCATATGTACTAATTATACTGGCAGCATTACTTGAGTTAATTCTTACCCAAGGTGTTGATTGACTTCATTACTGTAATTAAATGTGATTACATGTGGGATAAAGTATTTTCTAATTAGACTATAAGAATGACAGCATGGCTTTGGAATATCATGTAGACAAGTTTATTACATTTTATATTATAATTTTCTCAAACAAAATAAATTTCTAACACTTAATTAACAGATAGTGTATAGCAATGTGTGATTACAATAAAACTTTATTTACAAAAATAGACAATTAGCCTACAGGCCATGGTATGCAGATTTGGTTTTTTAAAATATTGTATTAAAATATTCATCTTGATTATTCAGTCTTTTGGTGCCCCCTTAAATTTTCAATCTGAGGTGAATGTGCCACTTGCCTGACCCTAGTCTTGGACTTGATGTAATGTCTGTATTTTCTCACAGCCACCAGTCACTAAAAGTCTAGTAACCAACTGTAAACCAGTAACTGACAAAATCCACAAAGCATATAAGGACAAAAACAAATATAGGTAAGGACTATATACATTTTTCTTTAAGAATAATTATAAGACCATGGTATTTTTATAATTTTATTATAGTTTACCAATTAAACATTCTTTCAAATTTACAGGAGATTGTTTTCTTGAGTAATACAGAAAGATATTGAGGATGTTGAGTATTTTAAAGTTTTATGAAATGTTTTCATTGAAATTTTGTTTTATGTATCCACATAAATCTTTAAGTATGTTTTTACAACTAGGTTTGAAATCATGGGAGAAGAAGAAATTGCTTTCAAGATGATTCGTACCAATGTTTCTCATATAGTTGGCCAGCTGGATGATATAAGAAAAAATCCCAGGTAGTATTAATATTTTTTTAATTTAGAGCATTTTAGGGTCACAGCAAAATTGAACAGAAAGGACAGAGAATTCCCATAACTTTAAAACTTATCTTTAATCATGCAAATAAACACGAAAAAAGGGCAGTGGGTCCAGAGAGAAAGGAGTGACTTATTTCTGTCTAGAGCAGAAAGAAGTACCTGATGGTGGAGGTACTGTTTGAATGAAGAGATGGGAGTTGCGATCGGGGCCCCCCTGCAGAGGGACTTTCTTTTTTTTTGGATAGAAAGGTGCATAACTGGACATAATGGATAGACAGGTAAAAAGATAGGTGGGTGTGTAGGTGGATGGGGAGGGAGAGAGAGACAAAGAGAGAAAGGAAGGGAAAGAGAGAAACAAAGGTGGATAAGTGGATGGTTGGATAGGTATGTACCTGGGTTTGTAAACTGACAAATGTATTCAAGGATGGGTGGGTGGATGAGTAGGCACATGGGATGGTGGATGGATTGCAAGGAAGGAAGGAAGATGTGTGGGTGGATGGAGAGACAGAGACGAGGATGGAAGGAAGGAGAGAAAGATGGGTAGGTGAATGGTGAAGAGAGGGAAAGAACGAGAGAAGAAAGAAAAAAGACAGAAAAGTGGTTTGGTGGATGGGGGAGGGAGACAAAGAACGAAAGATTGCTGGTGATTGGATAGGGTGTTATATGGGGTGGTAGATGCATGGATGTAAAGGTTCACAGGTAGAAAGGAAGGGAGGAAAGGGAAGAGAGAGCGAGAAAGAAAGTCTGGTGAGAGGATGAACTGATAGGTAGGTAAAAAGAGAGATGGATGGGGAAGGGAGGGAGAGAGAAAGGACGGAAGAAAGAAAGATGGGTTGGTGGATGGAAAGGTAGGTACATGGGTTGGTAGATGGATGGACGGTAGGGTTACAGGCAGGGAGGAAGGGAGAGAGAGAATGGTGGATAGTTGGATGGATCGGAGGAAGGTTGGAAGGAAGGAAGAATGAATGAATGAAAGAAAGATGGGTGGTGGGTGGATAGGTAGGTAGATGAGTTGGTATATTGATGGTGGATGGAAGGGTTTATAGGTAGGAAGGAAAGGAGGAAGGGGAGAGCGAGAGAGAGAGAGAGAAGGAATGGGAGAAAGGAACCGAGAAGAGTAAGGTGGATACGTGGATAGATGGATAGGTACATACCTGGGTTCGAAGATTGATAGATGGATCAAGGGGGGGTGCTGGAGGAAGGGATAGGTCTGCAAACAGATGGGTGGGTGGATGGGGAGGGAGAGAGAGAAGAAGAAAGAAAGATGAGTTGTTGGATGCAAAGGTAGGTACATAGGTTGGTAGATGGAAGGATTGACAGGAAGAGAGGAAGGAAGAGTGAAAGAAAGAGCTTTCTCTCTTTCTTTAAAGACAGATGTGTGGGTGGATGGGGAGAGAGAGGAGGATGGATGAAAGGAAGGAAGAAAGAAAGATGGAATGAAGGAAAGAAAGAAAGGTGGGTAGGTGAATGGGGAAGAGAGAGGGTGAGAAAGAAAGAAAAATGGTTTGGTGGATGGGGAGTGAGGGAGAGAGAAAAGCGAAACGGAGAGACAGAGACAGGAAGAAAAAGAAAGAAAGAAAGAAGGGTTGGTGGATGCAAAGGTAAGTACATGGGTTGGCAGATGGATGGATGGTAGGGTTGACAGGTAGGGAGGAGGGGGAGACAGAAAGGTGAGTAAGTGGATGGATAGATAGGTACATACCAGGGTCCATAGATTGATAGATGGATCGAAGGGTGCGTGGCTGGACGAATGGATTGGTAGGTAGAAAGACAGATAGATGATGGGCGGGTGGATGGGGAGAGAGAGAAGGAGGAGGGAGGGAGGAAGGAAGAATGCAAGAAGGAAAGAAAAAGAAAGAGACAGGAAGGAAGGAAGGAAGGAAAGGTAGGAAAAGGTAGGTAGGTAGGTGGTGGCTGCATACGTAGATAGATGAGTTGGTTGGTAGACGGATGGATGGAAGGGTTTATAGGCTGGGAGGAAGGGAGAGAGAAAGCCAGATAAGTACGTACCTGGGTTCGTAGATTGGTACAGGGTGCGTGGCTGGACGAATGGTTAGGTGGGTGGATCGGGAGAGAGAGAAGTAGGGAGGCATCGAGCGAGGAAGGAAGGATGCAAGAAAGAGAAAGAAAGACGGGGGGTGGGTGGGTAGGTAGGTACATGGGTTGATGGAAGGATTGCAAGGAAGGAAGGAAGGAAGATGTGTGGGTGGATGGAGATACAGAGGAGGATGGAAGGAAGGAGAGAAAGATGGGTAGGTGGTGAAGAGAGGGAAAGAACGAGAGAAGAAAGAAAAAAGACAGAAAAGTGGTTTGGTGGATGGGGGAGGGAGACAAAGAACGAAAGATTGCTGGTGATTGGATAGGGTGTTATATGGGGTGGTAGATGCATGGATGTAAAGGTTCACAGGTAGAAAGGAAGGGAGGAAAGGGAAGAGAGAGCGAGAAAGAAAGTCTGGTGAGAGGATGAACTGATAGGTAGGTAAAAAGAGAT